GGGGGGGGGGGGGGCGGGAGGGTTGGCGGCAGCGACGTTTGCTCGTTAAAGCATGCTTGACAATCTCAGGGCGGACCTGGTCGCGTTCCCATCCACCGCCCCAACGGGAACCCGGCAATTGGTGGCTTTGGAGGAGGAAGGAGGGAGCATGCAGGGGGGCACTCGGAGTAGGTCTTGCTGTTTTTTTGTGCGTTATGATGAAGGCATTTGTTGTGGTGGGGCGTTAAGAGTACAAGTAGAAGCCTGACATCTTGCTATAGGGTGAGCCGGCGCAGGCGTTCTGTGCGACGACGGCATGTATTGGACTTGAGAGTTTAGTTTTGCACACAACAAACGCATGGATTCTCATCTACCTGCTGTGTGCTGCTGTAGCGCGGCAACTTCAGCCAAGGCGGCGCTCAAAGTCAGCTACACGGACGGACGTAGGAACGCGTGCCAATCGCACGGCTGGTTCTGGCCGCAGTTTCGGAAACGCACACGTACAACTTTACTGTTGGGTATTGACGTAATCGAGTCTTGCCTCACGACGGTGCGCGCGTGCGCCCTCCGCCATCTCGCCGGTGATGGCGAGACGCCGATTAAATACATGTACCGAATTTTAGAGCCGAGACCACGGAAGGCGTCCCCGTCAGTTGGACCAGTAATATACGGATATTAGAAGATACTGAGCGGAGACCGGAACGGCTGTTGACGTAAGCTACAACAGGCCGGGGGGTGCAACAATAACCGCGGCCTTCAGAACAAGAACCTCACTTATTTCGAGCCGTCGTGTACGCCAACATGCGCACTCCACACACCAAAATGCGACGCACACCTCTGGGCATGTATCGTTACAGCAGTCAATCAAATCAGCCCTGCCCTGGTACGCAAGCGAGCGAGCGAGGCTTTCCTTGTCTGACCGCCGAGAAGAAACCAAACGCCTGGTAGGTTGCGTTCTTTGTATGTACAAATATGCATAGCACACACGAAAGAGGAGCACTTAATTAACCAAGTGGGTGGCGTGAAACCTCTGCCGGCGACCCTCGTTTTGCCGCGGAGGTGTGAATAAGGTGTGTTGTTTGTAAAAAAAACACGCACGATGCGTGCACCCCTGGCGGCACACCGACCAAAGACCCTAGAGACGCATCAACAGATCGAAGTGTGGTTTCTAGAGCTATACATTAGCGCTTGATGCATCGTAGAGCACAAAGTACATGGCAGCCGGGCGTGTTTCGTACACCACTACATATAGAGTACCAGGTAGCATATATGCTACACATGTGTTTGCCGACAACAAGAGCTTTTTTCCCGGACACAAACGAATACCGTATTCTCGAAGTATTAATCAACAAGAACACAACGGCGACGACACACCAACATCGGTATCAACGACAACAACAACACAGAACCAAGAATCTCACACACAAGACCTAAGAGAATAAATTCTCGGCCCTACTCAAATCATGAGTAGTGTCCCCCTCCCCTCACTCTTCCGTGGCCCTCCCAAACAAAAACAACACTTTTTGCCAAAAAGAGAGAAAAAAAATTGGTGCAACAAAAACTCATCGAGAGAGAAAAATAACCTCACGGTCAGCCTATCTAGTCCATTGAGGGCGGAGCGGGTGCCGCTTTGGTGAGAATCTTGACCCTAAACACTCTCTCCGAGGCGGCCATGTACAGGTACCCGTCGTCCGCCAGGGCGACGTTCGCCACGAACACCCCTCCCGTCAAGACCATTCCCAGGTGCTGGCCCCCCGGGGACACTACTGCAACGCCCCCGGGTGCTGCGGCGAAAACGTTCCCTCTTTCGTCGACCTTCATCCCGTCCGGTACCCCCACGCCGTAAGCCTTGGGTACCAATCGTGGGGACATCAATCAGGGACAACAACAAAAAAGCACGAGGGCACGGGTGGGGGAAGGGCAAGGAATGAGGGGGGACGCACGCATGTTGCATGCTTTAGTTGTTACACCGAGGGCATCTCTACCGCGTTGCCTGGCCCTGCTGACCATCGACCATGCCTCGCCCCCCCTCGCGACGGGGTGGGGTTTTCTACCCCCGATTCCCGATTGAGAGACAGGAGCCTCTGACAGAAAAACCCGGCGGCGCGATATACGCCTTTATTCTCCACTTTCCATTTCATCACCCAAGTTTCTGCAACCGTACAGGCAAGCGTATCGGAGACGCATCATGAAGGCTGCTCCCAAAAACGCGGCCAAACCAAGGTGAGGAGTGGGTCGATACGCCGACATCACGCGCCGTGGCCAAAGGGTTCTACCGCCAGACACGTATCGCATGTTCGCTGGAAGCGATTCGCTTGGCTAGGCCGGGGGAAGAGAGGAGGGTCTTTCGAGTGACAAACGCGAAACAAACCTCAACAGGTGGGCCGTGCAGACCAACCACACCCCAATGTGTAAAAAAAGGTAGACAAAAGTACCAGCAACGAGCGGTCCAATTCCATCTTCTTTGCACCCAACGGTGCCACTACGTCTCTGGTGATTGTGTATTCCGCACACCAGCAAGCCTCAACGAGGGCCGTCGTCGTGTCTACCCACACTGCAGCTCTCCCTCTCCTCGAACAAAACCAGCACTCGAGAAAGGGAAAACGGCCGGCCGATAGCAGGGCATCAACGCTGAGGTGCGGCACTGTCTAGCAGCTCGGCTCTCTCGCCGTGGCTGAAACAGCCAAGAGGGGGAGAACTACAGCCGTCCGAGTGTACGATGCCCACGGCGTTCGGGCGTGACATTTCGCCGACGCACACAGGCACAGCAGTCGCACCTCTCCGCAAACCCAGAGCCCTCCCTCTTTCCACAGGAAAACACGGACCCTTCGCGTGCGCGTCGCGGAAGCACCCACGCCCATGTCCTACGAACAAAAACACAACTACCGCCTTGAAGAAAAACAAGGGCATTGGGCTATCACCCAAACTCACCTCCTTCATCGGCCGCGCATCCAGGAACAACCTCCGATTGGCCAGCTCTCCGTCCTCCTCGACGTCGTACACGTGCCACGCCGGGCGGTCAGGCGAAGACACAGCCAGGTACAGCTTCGAGAAGTCAGGGGAGAACGCCAGCCCGTTAGGCCAAGTGAACTCTGCCGGGGGGTTGTGAGTGGGAGAGAGGCGTGTACGGGGGGGGGCGGGGGGGAGTCAGCGTAGTAGGAGAAGCCGACACACAAGTTTCAGCCTGGCGGAAATGAACAGCTGTAAGCTCGCAAGCTCCGTGATCACCCGCGATAATGGGCAACGAAAGGACTCAGGCGCCGGAAGTGCGAGAGAGACACGTGATCAGCATCGGCACCTGCGGCCAAAACGAATCAATAACAACAGCAACACCGCCAGCACCAGTAGTAGATCCACCACCAAAAACTCTTCGACAAACTAAGTGAGTACGAGGGAGACACACGTGATCTGCAACGGCACCTGTGGCCACAATGAAACAACAACAGCAGCAGCAGGAGTAGCAGCAGCAGCACCACCACCACCACCACCACCACCACCAGCACCACTACCACCGCCAACGCTTGCTTCGACTACGTTTACAACTACACGTAAAACTACAGATAGCGCGGCAACACCGGCACACCTTTCTCCATGAGCTCCGGCTCGGCCCCCGCCGCCTCCCTCGCTCCCGCCTCCCCCGCTTTCGCAGCCTCGATCGCCTCCCTGCGGACCCGGTACACCCCACCGAAACCGTGGGCGGCGAAACCGGGGTCCTTTTGCCGAAAAGGCAGCCCGTACGGGGGATCCGTGAAATAGATGTCCCCGCGCTTCGAGAGGGCGAGGTCGTTGGGGCTGTTCAGGCGGTGCCCCTGTTTTTTTTTTTTTTCGTCCACGACGGCGAGAGAGCCGGCGGGGCGAGCATGCAGATGGAGGTGAGAACTGTCCATTGGGGGGGCCGCTCAGATAAAACGGTCGTGTCGCGTGTACACTGCTGTGTGCGGGGCTGCTTTGGGTTCGAAAGGGTGTCTTGGACGTGTGTTTCGGACACCGTATTGTAGTCGCCGAAAACGGTGGGTGTTGTTTGTATCCTTGATTGATGCTGCTGTTGGTGATGATCATTCAAGGGTTCCAATGACTGTGTTCCACCTGCGTGCTGCTTGCCCCATTGCCTAGAGGCATGTTCAGGAGGGACGCTCGACGGCAGCGGCCGCCACCGCATCTGCCTGGTCTACAGCACCCGCACTGGCCGCTTTGCCCGTGCCGGCTCCTATTCCTGCAGTTGGCGCGACAACGGCAATGGATGAGGACCAGGCACGCTCAACGGCGGCGGCGACGGCGGCGGCGGCGTGCCTGGTCCTCATCGATCGCCATCATCTCGCCAACTGCAGGACTAGGAGAAGGCACAGGCAGAGCAGCCAGTGCGCGTGTCGTAGCCGAAGGTAGATGCGGTGATGGTAGACCAGGCAGATGCGGTGATGGCCGCTGTAGCCACCACCGCCACAGCCGCCGCCATGGAGCGTGCCAGTTCCTCAACCGTCGGCATCATCGCGCACACCGCAGGAATAGGAGCCGGCACAGGTAGAGCAGTCGATGCAGCCCCCCCAAGCCCAGGTACATGGGGTGGCCGCGGGCTTGGGGGTCTGCATCGGTTGCTCGCGGCTTGGGGGGTCTGCATCGGCTGCTCTACCTGTGCCGGCTCCTATTCCTGCAGTGTGCGCGGATGATGCCGACGGTTGAGAAGCAGGCACCCCGATGACAGCGGCGGCAGCGGAAGCGGCCGCCACCGCATCTGCGTGGTCGATAGCACCCGCACCGGCTGCTCTGCCCGTGCCGGCTTCTATTCCAGCAGTCGGTGCGACCACGGCCATGGATGGGCAAGCAGGCACACTCAACCGGCGGCAAGCGGCGTGCCTGGTCCTCATCCACCGGCATCATCGCGCTCACTGCAGGAACACGTGCCGGCACAGGCAGAGCAGCAAGTGCAGGTGTTGATGTAGACCTGGTAAACTTCGACGCGGTGTGGAGGCCGCTTCCGCCGCCACCGTCGAGCGTGCCTGCTTGCTCTCCATCCACCGCGAGTGGCGCTGTAAGCACGGAGGCGAGTCGGTACAGGCGTACTGCCACCGCCGCCACCGCCGCCGCCGCCGCCGCCGCCGCCGCCGCGGAGTCTGCTGAATTGTCTCTTTTCGGTGCGAGAAGCCCCGCGCAGTGTCCATGAACGCCAACCACGCACGCACACACGCACAGGAGCACGCACACCTCGAGCTAGCGAGTTGCTTCATCAGGGAACGTCAACTACCCTGACGCCACAAAAACAAGTTGCTGTGCGTTCATCATCTAAAAAGGCCTTGGAAATTGGACTTGGAAGCGGAGCGAGCCGCGGACCCGTCCTCAAGGCGCCAGAAACGGCCCACTCGCCATACAAACGTCAAGAGCCGCGCAAATACGGAAGCGTGCCTTTGAATGAACGCTGAGAAAAGGCCGCAGGCCACCACGAACACAAGCGAAGCAGGGGGGGTGGTGTACCGCGGTTGGTTGTCGCACAGCGCGCGCAGCACGACACAACTGACACGCCTTGGGTGCGATTTGATCAGGCCAACCCGTGCAGACCCGTCGCATGCGTACGCAAATACGTCGCTCACGTTGAAGTGGGTAGCCAGCGGTGTCTTGGTCCCGTTGTTCTCCATCCTCGTCACCCTCCGGTCGCCGTGCTCGCACATCACCACCTCCCCAGACCGGGGCACCTACTTGTAAGACCGACCCCAGAGCCCACCCGGCGAAGCATGCGTAACAAAAACAAGAACAAAACAAAGAGCGCCACCATGGACGAGACGCAAGATAAAGGACCGGTTTGATCGCCAAGAGCCATCGAAAATTACCTAAGGTCCACGGCAGGTTCGAGGGGCATGCACCGCGGAAGGGGTGAGACGAAACGCGTGAATCTTCCGCTCGGACCGAGAACACCGGCACGATTCATCGGAACCCCCGACGAGCGTGCACGAACGACCATTCCCCCGCGCCTTCGTTTCCAGGCGCCCATGTCAGAGGTCAGCAGGGGCGCTCTTCGGAACAACGTGTACGCGTAGCCCCTGCTGCTGTGGTCGCCACAGAGTAGTGTAGTTTTTTCCCGCCGCAGTACGGCAACTCGCTTGTTGCGCCCCTGAGAGGAGCGAGAAGCGTCGGCGGCGTCTCCCACGCTCCCCGACGAATTGTCGACTGAGCCTCAGCGGCAAGGTGCCTAAACAAGTCGAACAAACATCTCAAGAGGGCGTTTCGTTCTATGCTCTCGGGGGGATTCTACAAAAGCGCAGCTTTACGATACGGCGCGTTGTGATACTCAACCGCCCATCAGGAAGCAACAAACGCGTGGCCATGAATGTATCTGCCCAATAGGCAGCCAAATCTGCACCACGCCTGCTCTGTCCCCGCTCGCGCAGCAACAAGAACATCAGTCTCGGGCGGAAGCAACGAGTACACCCACCAGCATGAGGCCGTTCGAGCCTGACATCTCCATCGACGAACAGTGGTCTCCGCGGCAGCCGCTGCGGTCCAGGAAGAGAGACTTGCCTAGCGTGAACAGCCCGCCCCCTTCCTGTTGGAGGTGACCGGACAAAGCCGGCGGCAAGAGCAGCAGCAGCAGAAGCAGCAGCAGACGTGGTAAACGGCGGAAGCAGCAACAATAATCACCGGCGCGCGCAGCTTATTGCTAATCGGCCAGGGCAAGCCACCCGTGGGCGCGTACATAAAACAACAGTTCCCTTGGTACGGATATGATGTAGGCATACAGAATGTGTGGAACGAATCGCCCCCCCGCCGCCATCGTGCCACCCCCCCCCCTAATCTTCGCGTCACCGTGCCCTGGACTTGTAGCACGAAATCATAGCACGCTAGCTGAATATACCTCCCACTTCCATATCCTGTTGTTGGCTACGTCGGAGAAGAGAAGGTATTGCCTGTCCGCCTGTGTTCGGGCGCGCAGTACCAGACAGATAGATGGGAAGATGGTGAGAACGAGACAAAGAATGGAAAGCTCCAGCAAGTGTAGATGGAGATCAAAACGCTGTGAGATTGACTATAACATATTGTAATAAGGTGCAGATTGCACTATTTAGCATTTGTATGTAAGGTACAGATGGCACAAACGCGTCGTGGTCGTCGCACAAAAGGGGTGGGGTTGAGATCAGGACGTGTTTGTTGTTGTTGAGTTGGATTGAAGGAAGAAGAGAAAATTCAACACACGTGAAGGTGCAAATAATTTGCAATATATGGAGTCTTGAATTTTTCACCGGCAGCTTCCGGAAAGTCCCTACTGCATTAAACCAACACGTTCCTGTTCCTTGGACCTACGGTTGAGAGAGAGAGAGAGAGAGAGAGAGAGAGAGAGAGAGAGAGAGAGAGAGAGAGAGATTCCTTTGGGTGCATCGACGGGACTGTCAGCTTGATGCTCGGGACACTGGCAAAAAAAGCAGGTGCACGTAAAAGAGAGGACCTTCGTGCTGTTGTGCACATGGGAGGGAGGAGCAAGAGGTTCGAATTCTGCTTACCTCGGTGTCGTGAACCCACTGCGTGCCCTCCGTGAAACCAAACCCATCGGCGACTACCTCCACCTGTAGCCGTTCGGAAAAAACGAAAAAAGTAAAAGGCGGCGGCCGGTGTCAGGCTGCACACAGACAGTAAGTACAGGGGCTGGGGCGCAGTGACCTTTCTTCCAGCGTATGCGTGATGCGTATCCATCGTGCACACGCACACCCTCCAGCACAATACGTAGCGCCAACCACGCGATCCTACTGCTGCTGCTGCACGCCACCTCCCATTTGATGTGTTTGTTGCTCACCGTTGCTCCCCGGGGAATGATGTCATCGAGCTGCTCCGGAACAAGCCGCTTGATGCTGCTGCCCGCAACCTCAGGGTACTGGTTGAGATGCTGCAGCAGAAAGTGCAGGTAACAGCAGAGCCCGGGCAAGAACAAGCCGATCCATGCGATCGATGCCGCATTCTCGGGCTTCCACCTCGAGGTCATTGCAAAGCTTCAAAGAGAAAGAGTGAGCTGCAACCGGCAAGAGGCAAGAGACAAGAGACTGTTTGCCGGGGATCATTCTCTGCCATCCCCGGAATAACCAACTTGGCGTGCTGCCGCAGCAGCATAAATCTTCACGACGAACAATCATCGCAAACCTAGTTTGTTTGTACATACACAGCAGTCGCAGTACATAAGTCGTGAGAAATGGGCAGTTATGATTGCCGCGAACAACACGAACGCCTGGGAAGAAACACAAACTATCCTACGTTGAGATACATACGCCCTACAGATGAAGCAGGAAGTATTACGGCCTACAGAAGTGCCGGTGCTACAATAAGAGAAAAGGAAGTGGCAGCGGGCGTCCCGAGAATATATCGATGAAACTGGGGCCTCAAAATCCTCAAGACAGAAAATTTGAGCGTGTTCTTGTGCGAGCGAGCACCTGCTGGCTACCGAGATTACTCGCGGATGGCCTCTCGGGACTCAGCGGGTCGTCGGATTTCGACTTGGCCAATTACGCAGTGTCGCCGTGTTTCACGTGGCATGATGCGGTGTACGACAGCTCTAGGCCGAGTGCGTCGTCCAGAGAATAACGCGTGTGGTGAGCCGGAGTTGATATTGACCTTGTCCGTTCGAAGCACCCCGTGCTCTCCCTCCCTCCCTCTCTCTCTCTCTCTCTCTCTCTCTCTCTCTCTTTCCCCCCCCAACGGCTGCTTCCCCAATTGAACTGATTTTTTTTTGTGTGTGCATTGGAGCATTTGCAATACATATTGATGACTGGTCGTCTGTCACACAAACGGATAGACTAGTGCTCATTTGCTATGAGGCCGCCCGCCCATTAGGCGGGGCGGCAATCGGGAATCGGGGAATGGTGTGGGTTTATTCGCGCTGGGCTGATGTCGGTGAATAATCCAAGATATTTACAGTCTTGGACTCGTGGAAACGTAAGGCCGTCTTGCGCGCTTCATCGCATTGGCTGTTGTGCAATGTGAACTATATACTGTACAGGGACCATCATCCCAGTCATGAAAGAGGTTTGACTTTAGTCTGCAGGTTATCGTCAAACCAAGGAGACGACAGACGCGTATGCATGTATGCACGAATAGTTCCGCCTCTGAAAGGAAAGATCATCGCTCCAACAAGATCGATTTTCGACTTTCCGTGGAGAAAGTCTCTGCAGTTCGGCATCGTTTTGTTCGCCTCACCCTTCGCTCCTCCGAAGTTTACTGCAGCCATTTCTACTTGATCAATCGTTCACAACCAACCCGGGGTGTGCTGTCCGTAGCATGTTGTTTGTCACACCAACATTTTCGCGACCGATGTCATCCTTCGGCACGTCCGATGATGCTTGAGGCTCGACCTGCAGTCGGGTTGGGTACCACACCCAGATCCAACGCAGTCGTCTGTGCGCAAGAAACAATCAAACGTGGTAAGGCGGGAGAGCATCGTGCATCATCTTATGCATGCATGCATATACCGCTTGGTTCAGGCCTGCGAATATTTTTCATGAGTTATTCAGGGAGGTATCCGGCCGTCGCCCTTCTTCCATTTCTACAGGTGCTGTAGGAGGTTCTCATGAACGGGCTCACCTATGAACGTTTTGTTTCTTCAGGCCACTCAATCTAAGTGCCGGCTGATTCTGTCTACATAAAAAGAACAGTAGGGTCGAAGGAGATTCCAACACTGACAACGGGGCGAGAGCTATCTTCCCTCGTAACCAGGACACGCCCCAACACTCGCCTTTGTCACTGCATCAACGGTCACGACCACGGCCGCCGGCCCCAAGGCGCTCTTCCCCGCCGGCGGCGGAGTAGGAGGCGCCGGCGGCAGCGCCGAGCAAGTTGCCCCCGACGCATCGATCCTGATGGAGTCCATTCCGAGGCTATGGAGCAGCGCCGAAGCTTCCGCGGCTACGGAAAGGTTGTCGACGTGCGCCTTTGCTGCCCTCGTCACTACTCCCTCCACGTCATTGTCGATTAGGAGAGACATGTCTGGCGCAATGGGGCCGCCAACCGGCCGCTGTGAGGGTAGGGTTCGGTTCGGGTAGATGGGACGACGGGTTGGTGATGGTCGCCGGTGTGCGTAGCGTCTGGGGGCATCGACGAAAAGGGCGACGTGAGTGATAGTACAGTAATAGTGGGACCTCAACAACGCCGGTTGAATAACGCCGGTTGCCCTTTTTTCCGCCGGTAAAATTGCTGGGCACCGACTCAATAACCGGGTCATTCTGTACGTTAAAAAGCACGGGTCCCTCTGAATAGCGCCGGTCGATGCGCCGGGAAAATACCGGCGTTCCCCCCTACTGTACACCTTTTTGGTCATGGGATTGTTACGGGACTGCGGCCACGGATTGCCGGGGATTTGATTGCTCTGTGGACTTCCGCTGACACCCAAAGTGTAGGACTATCCGTGCTGGACTTCCCACACCGTCGAGACGTACAATAAGCAGCAAAAGGGGGAATGGGACCGGGCTACCGTTGAACCCGTTCTGTTCCTCCAGCCTGACGAACCAGTGCGTCTGGACAAATGAAGACCGGTCACCCAACGGGGTGGGGAAGAGAGCGTGCTCGGCTTGAGGGTTGGCAGTCCGTCACTGCTGTGTACTATTAATCACAACATCGGTTTGGCCGTGCGGTGATATACTGGGGGGGGGTAAAGTACGTTTGTCTTTTTTCGGTTTGGAGTGGAGAACCCCAGACCAGACGAATACCGCGCCATACTCACCTCAAATCCTTCGCCATGCAATGCGCACATCACACCGACGCGCATCAGCATACAGCAAATCTTGACCACGTCGCCATGATCTTGGAACTTCGCGCATGCCTTGAGAATTAGCAGCAGCACGCCTTCCTCCATCACTACTGCCCTTCCGCCACCCACAGTGTCCACATCCAACTCGGTTTGAAGCCTGTGCGTGCCGTTGTGACCACAGAGGTCGACCTCCGCGGCCCTCAGCAAGCACACCAGGGTATGCAAGGCGACCTCGTGAGCCGCCGGTGCTAGCCACCTGAACAAAAAAAGGATGTTCATGTTGCAGGCATAGCAGTTGATGTCCTGAGAGCGATGCTCAAAAACTTGTGCTCTTTTTCATACAAAGAAGGATGTTCATGTGTTGTTCCGGAACGTACAGCGTTGCCGGCAGAGCGTTTGATGTTCTATCCTGAGAGCGATGTTCAATACGTGTGCTCTTCTTCATGCAATACATGCGTGCGATCTGCGCTACTGAGCAGGCTGGCGGGCTGGCAAGGCGGGTTGAGCCGGAGGAAACACTCTTCAATAGACCCATGTGCCTTTCTTTCGAAGATAACCTTCCTCGATGTGCTCCTCCTCTGTGTGGATCCTGGGTTGTGTAGATCATTCCATTGCGCGCATAAATAACGAAGGCACCCCGACTAGCCATAAACGGCACATCTTTGGTGCCGCTGCGTACCTTTTCGGGACCGTTCTCATGTCCTCCACCGGTTCATCTCCTGATGCGGTGCTTTTGCCGGCAACCTGAGGGGCTCTTGCGTCGCGCCAGCCCTCTCGGCGCCTTGCGTCCTTCTTCGGCTCATCTCCAGGAGATGACGAAGTCGCGACGATCCCGTCGGCCGGGCGACCGCGGTCGCCCTCTGGCGGTTGCTGCTCTTCTCCCTTCCACCCCCCTCCTCCACCTCCCCCTCCTCCTCTACCTCCTCCTCTTCCCCCTCCAGACAAGGGCAGCCCACGGGGAAGAGGCTTCTTGTCTCTGAGCCTCTCCCGGTTGCATGAAGACTCTGATAGTGAGGGACACGTTGCAGCAAACGACTTGTTGCCGATGACGTTTCTCGGGCCACGGCAGTCGCCCTCGCCCTGGTGACTGGCCAACTTTGTTTCGAGCGAACCCGAAAACGAAAACCGGTCGCTGTCCCTGGGCTTTCGTGTCGACTTCGCTAGGCGGACCTGGCCCTTGGCCGTCGCACTCACCGCCTCGCCCTGCATGCCGGGGGTCCTATCCTCTGCCACCGGCGCCTTTGCCGGGTCGCCGTCGTCCGCAGTTAACCCATCTCGGGGAGCGGTTGTGACTGGCACGACGCCATCACCGTCCTCGGCACCGCCCTCCCCGTCGTTCGCCACAACACACTCCATGGCCCACCTCAGCAGCACGACCGAGGCGACCGCACTCTCAGCCAACTCCCCTGCTAGAACGCCATCATCTCCGCCGTGGCCGCGGCCGCGGTTTCCACCCAAAAGGTCCCAGTAGCCGTTCCCGTCCGCTAGGTCTATCTCGTACCCGGCCGGCTTGCTCTCAAAGGCTGGCTTCGAGGCCAACATCGGTCTCGCATGAGATCTCTTCGCGAAGGAAAACTTCCCAGTCCGTCGACATGCGTTCTCTTTTGCTGCAGCGGGCAAGGGCCGAAGCTGCGACGTCCGGGTGCACGCGTTAACGCCTAGACTGTACCGGTGTATGGGCGGGGGGCTCCTGAAGAGCAGCGTGCTCGACGTCTTCTTCGAACGCGTGGCTTCCCCTCCCCCCTCGGCCCTTATTGAACCACGGCCATCACTATCGCCACCGCCTCTGCCACCGTTGCTTCTTGATATTGTTCGGTCTCGTACGGTTTGAACATCATCACACGGTGCGGTAGTGATAGCAGCAGTGGCAGCAGCAGCAGCAGCAGCAGCAGCAGCAGCAGCAGCAGCAGCAATCCTTGTTGGAGACGGTAGAACCTTGTTCCCGCTGTGGCTGGGATTCGGCTGGCGTCCGTGCTGGAGGCGGAGAGCGACGAGCGATTCGCAGAAGAAACCACTTGGGTAGCAGAGCCGGATGGTCGCCAAGGCATGATACTGTTGGTGGTTTTGGTGTGATGTACCACACCAGTAAGAGACAATCGGGGCCGGGGGGGGGGGAGGGGGTGCAGAGTTTTGGCGAAGCTGAAGTCACGTGGGTTTCCATCTTCCATGAGTGAGAACACTAAGTTTGTGTTTGGTTCGTTGTTGGTCGCAGGTCCAGGCGAATCAAGGTGAAACATTTTCAGTGTAGTTCGCTGCACAGACCCGGGTATACAGCAACATTAAGGTTGGTCCCCCCTTCCTTACTGATGGCAAAACGATGTACACCATTATACTCATCGTGCAAACGTATTTGAACGAGTGCTACCAGCGTCGAGGGGTCTTTTCGACCTCATCCAACTCCAACCTTCGCAAGAAGCCGCTACGAATCAACACAGAATTGTACGAGGATACTGGCTTTCTGGAATATGGAATGTCCCCATTCCCTCACCAGCAATCTCCTCGGCTTCCTGGCACCCTTTGGCCCAAACGAGGCGGTTGCCAAAGCTTCGGCCAATAGCGGTATAACCCCAGCTTTCCGAAGGTCGAGGGCCGTTGCTTCCCCTTGCAAAGCGCTCTTGTGGAGGAGACGCGCGGCGTAGAGCTGCACTCAATCGCCACATCCGTTCGGACGACAACGACGTGCACGGAACCGCTTGTCAGTTAACGGAATCGAAGATAATCTTTCCGCCGATTCCTTCTAGAACGTATTTCGACATCGTTGGCATCGCCGAACTTTATTATCCTCGACGGCATGGAAGGAAGGTACCGCCTTCCAACCTCATCTGTTAATACGCAATGACGGTTGTCACAAGGCTCGCGAGCTCGAGAGGTTCGCTACAACGCTCCGAGCGTGTCCCCTTTCTCGACCTCGTGACAGCAGGGGCCGCCCTTACCCCCAGAAAGGGCGGTTTCTGAAAGTTATCTGCGCCCGACCTACGGCTTATGTACAGCGTTTCCCCCCTTGCCATCGTCGGACATGCAGAAACGATTGAAACCCGATCTTCACGACTCACGACCGCCCTCGCACTCACCGCCACCACCCCGTCGATGACATGCCTCTGCAACGCCGCCACAACTTGTCGGTACAGCCTGTGAGTCGCAAGAAAAGTCCGCCCTAACTGTTCCAAGCTCGCGATGTAGCCCAGCAACGCGAGGGCATCGCGGGTCAGCTTTACGTCTCCTGGAAACTGCGCCATTCCCTTGTAGCCACACGCGGTCAGGGACAGGCAGAAGAAGAGAGACACGCACAAAAGCATCGCGGATTAGTTCAGCGGTCAGATGCGGGCTTTAGGTTGTCGGGCGACCAAGCTTCAACGCGGCAGAGGGAACGTACCATCCAGCATGCCGGAAATATGTCGGAAACTGCCATACCTCAAAAAGTAAAGGAACGAGTCCCAGCCCTGGGACGTCTCCTGTAGGGGGCAGCCGTCTGGGTTCATCCATGACGTCAATGCTACCAGTCTCGCCGCCTTCCCCCGCTTGTATCCCATGGGCATTGGCGACCGCATGCCGAATCTATTGCGACAAGCATAGTGATGGAGTCCGGAGTTCGTTATATACAGGTTTGTTTCTCGCATCGTGCACCAGCTGGAGATACCGGACGCGTCGACACTAAGGCTTCCTTGTTTGTGCGTAGACCACATTCCGTCCGGGGGGCAATCTGCGGGTGATCGATGACGTTCAAAGTAGTTCGAATGTGTCGTGTGACCTAAGCACGAATCTGCAGGCTAACCTCGAAGCCGGTTTCGAAAAAGCCACCACTATTCTTGCTTTGCTCTGCCGCTGACGAATGTGCTGCTAGGTAGGAGTCAAAACCCTACCGATGTTGGACTTGATCACTTCATATGCGGTCCCAAGCCATACAAGCTCGGGGCTTCTTTGAGAACACCCCGTGATGTGGTCTGTTTCATTTAACAAATCACCCCATCTGCTCCCGCCGTTCGGTTTGGCCTTTTCCACGTAGACGTTCCCACCTGTTGCAACACAGCACACCGTTGTGATGCATGCCTATGACAACCTTGCCCTTGTGCCAACTCTTAAGTCGACTTATCACGAACAAGCACATTATATACCAAGTTCAACACTGTACTTCAATCCACAACCGTGACGACCAAGAGGTTTCAAGGGAGCGTTAGACCACGGTGGTGGTTCACTCATGTCGATACTCCGGCCGTATCCTAGTAACGTTGATGGTGGCTTTAGTAAGTTTGCTCTCTGTAACATTTTCCTGGGACATGTACTTCCAGCAGTGCGGCCCTCCTCGTTATCCCTCCTAGGAAACGTCTAGTCTTGGAATCACAGCCATTGCTGGGATCACGCATGTGGAACTTGGATAGGTCGCCGTGGGTGTTGAACGATAGTATAGGGACTGGTGCACAAACGTGCGGAAAATGTATCGTACGTAGTCGAGAAAAGGCAGTCATTATGCATGCATGGTGACACCTCTTCGCCGGCCTCGGTTCTTCCAAGGACGACGAAATTTCGGCGAAACGTGTCCAGCATTTGTTCGATGTGCTTCAGCCTCTTTTGTTCCCGCCTCAGTTCTTCGTTCTTGATCACAGCCTAAGACATTACACGGGTAGAAAGACGAGGGACGGGGAGGGATTCTTCACGCCCTGAGAAACCCAGTCCCCCGCTGTTCAAGACATGATAGACTTGAAACTAAAGTCGCCGTCTTCGTTCCACGTGCTATTCACCGATAAATGCAGCTAAACCAAAGAAGTCGGGGCTGGCGCGAGTCTCTACCCGTGGTGTTTATTCGTGAAACGTGAGGCAGATCGGTTTGGCGCGGATATCAAGAACACGTCAAGTCATCCTCGCTTGAGCATTGAGCGTGAATCTAGCTACACGCAGCGGTATGTGTGTTGTTGCTTTTCTCGGAATTGTTGGCTTGCGTTCGCATGGTTACGCCTGTCGTGGCGAATATCCAAACTCAGCGCCACCCATAAGAAATTGATGCAGCTTTCAACTGTACCCCCCTCTCCAAAGGTGGAGCTCAACTGCTGTGTATTTTTTGTAGTTCGTTTGACGACATAGACTCCTTCCGTAGGTGGCGTTGCTGATCCAACGGTCTTAGCAGCTGTAGCCCGCTACACAGGGCAGGCATATTTTATTCGTCAATACTTCATATGGGCAAGGAGAGATGGTCCAGAAGGAGACTGAGCAGGGCGATGCCACAAGTACGTGGTCCGCCTACTCATACCAGCAAGCACGTGGAAGATCCGTGTATCCATCTGTAGTCTCCGGAGTTCTCAAGGTTGTCGGAACGCTAATAAACAACGGTTATTCCCACACTTTAAAAGCGTCCGCATGAATCCTACCCTCTTTTCCTGGCTGCTGTACGAGCTTGGCCCGTTGCACATACTGCATCCCTTTCTACGATCTGTGTTGACCACCAAATCACCCTCGTCCATCGATGCACTAACGAACCTGTTGAAGTTCCGAAGTGAACCGATCAAGAGTCTTGTCCTTGTCCCGGAGATCGGCTTGCAGAGAAGCCGTGGCTAGACCCTGCAGATATATTTCGTCAATTCGTTCCTGTACCGTAGGAAGGATTGGCGGAACGACGAACCACAACGAAACGTGGCTGATGATCCTAGGGTTGTGATACAGGCGCAAGACGTCGGTGCTGCGTGCAATTGATCCTCGAAGTCATTAGTGGAAACCCGCCTGGTGAGACCTGGGACGCGCGCCCATTCGCCTGTGAAAAGAGTTGCTCTGCAGACTCCAACCTCAAGAGTTTTTTTTCGCGTTCAGCCCTGTGGTTTCAAACAGGTCCGTCGCCTGGCGTACATCACGAGTGCCACCGCTCGTCAATCGGGGCGTTGCGGTGAAAAATGTTGTATGATCATTGAACGTCTAGTAGCAGCCAGACTGGTTGTAAGTCGAACAAAGGTCAGCGAAACACCTTTTCCCGCTTGAGACTTATCTGCCCATGACCACATGCGACCAACCCTATCGCTCTCAAGACTTGAAATTGCAGGGTTGGGAGAGATAATCATGCCCCTTTCGCTGGCCCAACCCATTCTTCACAGTAACATTGTCCTGGTAGACGTCAATAGGTTAGATATAGTGAAAACAGAACGACGATCAATGTACCGAAAACGATTTAGTCTATGCTGTACCTGCAACTTCCTTTGCGTGTCGTCATGCTCGCGGCGCCGTCGCTCATCATTTTCCCTTGTCCGTCTCACTAAGGTCTGCCAAGCAACTCCGGCACAAAGCAGAGTGGTGGGGAGGAGTGATGTTGGTGTGTGACATTGGACGTATCATGCACACAGAAGCCTCTACAGCAGTACATGTAGACAATGTATCAACTTACGATCGAGAGCTTTGCATAGATACGAGCTTGTGATACAACGCCTGATTTGAGGATTTGAGGTGCACAGAGCTACCTGGATCTCTGATTGGGCGACCACGACCCTCTCCTTGAGTGTGTCAAACACCGCTTCTTGTTGATCCTCGCGCTCCGCAGCTCGTTTCCGCAGTGCCTCCCGGTCGTTCTCGGCTGTGACTAAGCGTTGTCTGAGGTCTTTGACCTCGTCGCTTAGAAGGGCTTCGTTCCACAACCGCATGAGCTTCCGGGAGGTCACGGCCTTGGCCACAACGTCCGTAATGGTGGTCAACTTTGGCTTTGGCTTTCTTTTCCCTTTCGTTTTTCGCTTGCGCGCCATCGTCTAGAGCAGAAGTAGTGCCTCCCTGGCGCTCTCGGTGTGTTGTACTCGAGCTCCGGTGTCAGTCAATCGAAGTAAATGTACGTCGTGTAGCGATTTTCATCTGAGGCTCCACGCTCGCCATGCCAGTACAGCCTGTGGACCTCTCGGCTGCCACATCGCCGGCTCGAAGAAGCCCGGACGAATGCCGCGTGGTCAGCACTTCTCCGCCTTGCTTCTGGGTAGTGAGTGCTAATTGGATGCCTCGAGAGTTCTACACAGTCCCGGTGGCTGCGCGATGTATGTCGTGCCCTTGCGTCAGGAGTCTTATCATTTGTTCCACCAACAACCTTTCAAGTCTGCAATTTTGCTTCCCGTATCCCGTGTTCCTGCAGCAGTCTATCTTCGAACGTGCACGAGTTCTCCAACAGCCTTAGAGAGGTGTGGTGCAAACACAAGATAGTGTACTGCTGGTATACACACGAGACACTACCTACCGCTCCCGAGCAGATCATAGAGCAGGGGGCGGGGAGGCGGGGAGCAAGAGCGCGGCGAGCGGGGGAAGTTGCGCCGCATACGCGGCGGAAATGTCTACAGCAGTAGTGGCGATTCGAAGAGCTTTGCCCCCCCAGTAGCTTCAGCTTCCGAAGTGGAAAGCCTGGGTTGGTCTGCCGTCCGCCGTCGGCCGTCTGTCTACAACCGCGGTCCCAGTCCCAGCCAAGTCTGGTATGCCCAAGCCCGTGCGCAATGTCATCATCGGTGGAGTATTGCTCCATCTAGCGCTAGGGACCCTCTACTCTTGGGGATGCGTGCAACCCTATGTGACGTCCTATATCAGGTGATGCTGTGTGCTGTAGTCTATGGTACAACATAGACTAAGTCTAGCCTTATTTTGTTCGGCCGTTTACCAATCGTACCGACTACATTTTGGGAATGTGCTGCACACAGTTAATCAACACCCGACAGAGGGTCCCCTAGTGAATGCTTTGATGTGTTGATACTGAAGATTGGGTAGCGTCTGTCGGGTATTGTAATTGCTGTGTTGCGTGTCAAGTTTGTGCATCTCGGCAACTGGTCATGGGGATAGTTTTTGTGATGGTGCCATGTACATACTACACACGAAGGGCAGGAACACAGGGTTGGTTTCTCTGCTAGGTCATCGACGGGAGTTATGGGGCCGAATTCGTCGTTTGCTGATGTGCTAGCCAACCTCTTGCCCCATAGGAATGCATTGCAGTGCCTGCATGGAAATGTCGCTGTAAATCACTGCTCTATCCAGCGTCCGTAGTAGTACAGTAACATGGAACCTCTGTCTAATTCATCCGCTTGGTGTCCTACTGGTCCTACAGATTTTTTTTTTTCTTAATATGGCACAACGAATCCATCTCTATCATAGAGTCTGAGACAGATAAGCAATGAATTCATGTTTTTCTTCTGTTTTTCGCGAAAAAGCAAGAAACAAGATTCGTTTCATGCATGTATCGTATCCCTGTGTAGTCTACCCGTGTAAAGGGCATGCGTTGATTTTTTTTGTCATGGACGAACAGATGATGGTGCCTGTGTCGTGTTGGGTGTGGTATCTGAGAAATGGCTGTGGAAACAGGTACCGTACGATTCTGCACCTTTACAGCAGTAGCATAGCATAGGCTCTCAACACCCCGCATGGATCGTATCGGATGACGTCGTATAGGTTGAATATGTGTATATTGATATCCCATCTTCTCTGGGCATCAAACTCCAACTTCCGTCACGTAACATCTCGACACCTGTATGGCAACGCTCGCCGAACAGAGTGCCAAACAGATATTCTTGAGTCAAAATCCTCATCCCTTGCTCCTCGTTCCTGCGTACGTAGTTGTTGTTTCTGTTCCGGATCGATATGACCCTCGGGTACTTGTACTCACAGCAGTACGCGAGCGAAACAGTAAGCCCCTGTTTTATATTTCCCAAACTATAACTTCTGTACGAATATTTAGCTTCGTACGAATCTATGCGTTCCTTCGTGATAAAAGCGTCGGTACTCGTTAGTAGCCGACGTGCATGGCTGCCGCAAGTTGTTGCCTCTTTGGTTTGCCTTGACTGTACTAATAGCGCTATTAGCATGCAAAGCACCACCAGCCATTCCGCAACGCTATCTTGGGTTTGCATGGTCTGTTGACCATGTCATATATTCGCCTTTTTATATCTTCCTTCCCCTCGCTTCGTTTGCTTACTGTGCGTGCATCGGGCGGCTCCCCCTCTCTTTGGCACTCGCAAAATGCCTTGACCAAAAACACGGAACAAACGACCCCAAATCGAGCAGGCTGCACGATCCCACGGTAACAATCCAGGACACCAGCATCGTTTTCGCCTTCGCCGGTCTCGGACACTCCCTCACCTCACCGTTCGTGGGCCTCCTGCAAGACAAGAAAAGGCTAGGGCTACGAGGTACCGCCGTAGTCGGCGCGAGCCTGGTGGCTCTGACGACACTCGCCTCCTCGATGGCGACTTCGGTGTTCGAACTCGCATCTCTCAACGCGGTCTTGGGCGTCGGCGTAGCGTTCGCGTGAGTATTTTCTATTTTTCGATGTTGCAAGCAGAAGGTTGCAGCGCTTCTTTGGGGCTGGGCGGAAGTTGTTTTTGCCTGCTGGAAGCGCCAGGGGTAATTTTTTCAGAATTTGTGCTGGTTCGAAATGTCACACGCAGCTCGCTCTCCCCGTTATTCCACGACAGTTACACGTGCCCGCTCGTGAGCGGCTACGCGCTGATGCCGGATCGGAAGGGCACCGTTTCGGGCTTTGTGGTAGCGGGCTTCGGAGCAGGCGCGGCCGTGTTCGACGCGGTGGCAACGGCGGTCGTCAACCCCAGCAACACCCCTCCCGACCCCGCCACGGGCTACTACGGCGAGGTGAGAGAAAAAGAGATACCACAGGCGTTTGGTTCACACCTCCTTGGGTGTTTCAAGAACGATCCCACTTCGCATACTTAATTTTTCGTCGCGGCGGCGGTCGTTTGAAGCACTTAACATGTGGTCCCAACTTTCCCATCAGCATCCTAACGCCAACCCTAAGCCGGAATTGAACACTGACGCCACCGACCTTCGAATCTCGGCCGTGACTTCTCGACAACCTGAACCCACCCGCACGAGCCGCACCGAAGGAAGTGGCCGGCCAATGATGCTCTTGCCCCCTTAGCACCACCGTCGTACGATACGACACCGCTGACATTACTCCGTCACGCTGTCCGACCCCCCAGCTTCAACGCTAACATCAATCTGCACCCCTGTGGCATCCCGCTTGGGCTCGTCTACGCTGCGTAAAAACAGGAAGTGGCCGGTCGCGTTCCTTCCATGTACATGATTCTGGGATCGTGCTACCTTACACTGGGCCTCTTCGGGTCCTGGATGATCGCAAACCCTCCAGACGATGATGTCCGAGGTCGGTCAGCCATTTCATGGGACGCTCCAGACTGTGTAGGGCTAGGGAGAACCAACCCCTATTGTATTGACTTTGGAAGCGCCCTGCGTGACTGAAACGCTCGTTGATGCCCATCCGCACTTTGCAAAAACGTTTTGAGGCTGAAGGGAACGAGGGCCGTTCAACGTGTTCCTTCCCTTGCTGTGTCATGGAAGCGATGGACTAGGTGGCAGGTGTATTATCTGCATTCATTTCATAGCACCCGCACATACAAATTTGGCTACTAGTTGTGCCATGCCACTTGTTCAACTGACATCCCGTTTTGCTGTTCCTGTTGACGTTGGTCTTGAATGGGGGCACCAAGCAAGTATCAGTTGTTTACCCGCGCGTGACAGCAGGGCATTGGTTTTGTTCATCCTTTCCCCATTAACGCACATGAGCATGCTTCTTTCTCTTCCTGCTTTTCTCTCAGCACCTGTTGTTTCTGTCTTCTCGCCGCATCTCTCTCGCTGCCTCTCAATTTGTTTTCGTCCTCGATCTCTGGTGAAAAAGGGTCTTCCCAACGATACCCGCGCGCTTCTTGCGACGCCGTCCGCTCTTCGGCGAACAGCGACACCGTCTGTGGGAGCAATAGCAACACGAGCGGAATCGCTTACCGCGGAAGGACTCCCCACCGCCGTGATTGCAGCGAAGAGAATAATGGCGCCTGCGAGTTGAGAAACGTTGTCGGGGGAGCGCAGCCCCGACTAGCGTCTCTAAGCTCCTCGCCGTTTCTCGCGATGGAAACCGGCGACGAGGAAGGACAAGTACAAGGCCAAGGGCAGGAAGGAGATCGACGAAAACACTTCAACCTGATGCTGCCAGTGAAGAGCGCCAGCGTTTGCAGCTCTGCCGCCACGGCAGCTGTGGACCCGCTCTCGCCCACAAAGAACGCGACGTTGGCAAGAGGGGGTGGCGGTGGATATGCACCCATCCAACAGGAGCAGGAGCACCAGTACGAGCCTAGTGATTTGGACGCAAAGAAGGTCGCCACCAACAAAAACACAGCAGTAGCAGCAGCTGCTGCTGCTGCTGGGGAGAGACAGCTGGAAGTGTGGGAATTGTTGCGGGAAAACGATTTCTACCACCTCGCGGCGACGATGCTGTGCACGGCGGTGTCCGGGTTGTACATCGCAGGTACTTGCAATGTATTAGTATTTCTGTGTGCACAACATCTATCGACACGACCTTTCGAGAATGAGGACTACGCCCTCTAGCATGAGTGTTTTTGCTCCCCGGAAATCTTCAAATGAGTCGTGGCGGTCGTCCACCAAGCAACAGCAGTATTCCCTCATCAATCGGTTTCACATGTTATTGTGTGATTGCCGGCTGGATTGTTTCCCCTGGCGATGGCTATCGTGTTTTGAACACTGTTGTCTAATGCGGTGGTGCGACTACATCCGAATCGTTTTCAGCGCCCGCGTATTTCAACAGAGCCCTCAGTGGTGATTTTTCGACCGTATCTGTGTGCGCACGTGTCTTCGCTGTGCAATATTGCTGTGACTTATATCTATACAGAGGAGGCCGAAAAGACGGCCGACGTTTGAGTTGGGATTGGTATTTAGAGCGACCAAATCGACCAGCAGCCAATCCAATTGCTTTTCCGCGCAGTTTCCACTCTACATGGATTCGGCGTTTCCCGCAGCTGCATATGCTTCAAAGTACTTCATTTTCAAGCGTTGAGATGATAAGTCAAAGTTTTCCACAATTGCGGTACTAATCGGTTGCAAACCACAGTACTTGTTTGGCGCAGTAGCATCGTCAAAGCTGCCTCAGGCGAGGTTGGACTCTGACAAATGTTTGGAGTCCTGATTTGTGAAGGTTCGGACGATGCCGGCCCTACAGAGCCCGTACTGATCCCCTTTTTGCAACGCTTTCGCATTTTCACGAACGTTTTGCTCCGTGTTGTTGGATTGTTGTGTACTGAAGGCAACTACAAGGGCATCGCACGAGATATTTTCCCAAACGCCGACCGCTTCCTCAGCATCCTGGGCAGCGTCGCGTCCCTGTTCAACGCTTCGGGCCGCGTCATCGGGGGCTTGTCCGTGGATCGGTGCGATGAGATCGATTTCCTCTGCCACCCAAAGTAGCCCCCTGATTCTTCTGCTTTCGCTTTTCACCTTCTGTTTCGCGCTGCTGGCGTCCGATGTTTGTTCTGTTCCTGCTACTCGATTGCCCTGTTCATCATGCTGTCCGTTGCTGATCCTAGGCGCTTCGCCTTGCCTTGCCTCGCAACACCATTCCCGGTGCAGGTTCGGGTGCTTCGCAACTTTGTTGGTGCAGGCTGGCTCTGCGACGTGCTTGCTGCTCATCCTTTGCCTGGTGCAGGCCAACAGGCCATCGTTTTTCGTGGCCATCTGCCTCATGCACTCGCTGTAAGTCAGCACAGCAGTCGGTCTCACGTCGCGATATTCCCGTTGTATTTCGCACACCAACTGTCTCAAGGCGTCTCTTTGCAACTGTTAAAAAAAGTCCTACATTGGCATGCACTCTCAGTGCCGGCAGGCCAGCCCGGCCAAGGTGAACCGGCCGTTTTTTTGTGGCTGTCCTCGGGTGCTTTCGCTTTGGTTAGGGTGACAGAATCATGTTGACAGTGTGGGTGCATCTTGTTGCGGTGTTCCTTCCGTGTACGAGTCAGGTTCGTGTGAGCCCTTGCGTTTGGTGATACCCCGTCTCCCCTGTTTCCTGCAATTTTTCTCCTGGCCACAAACTCAATTCCTGTTTCATTCGCTTTTGGTGTGTTGCTCCTCTCGTTTGCATTACCACCACGGTCTGGCGCACGTAGTTTCGTGTAACTCGAATCTCCCCATTGGTTAATTCTCTTCGCTTGGTGAGCGCTTCCATTATATTTCTCCGTTGTTCACCAGCTCTTGTTGCCTCTGTATTCGTGGTCTGTCTGCACGTTTACTGCTGCTCTGATTAAGGACTCCCTTCGGCACTACCTGCACAACCCCACGTCACTTTCATCTCCGACTTCAACCTCTCACACCCCCACACGAAAAAACACAGGGCTCCTACCACAACGGTATTCATCAACAAAAACAATAAGAACCTCTCCAATTTGCGGTATTTTTACGTATTGTTTCGCGTGTATTTCTCACCAGTTACGGCAGCAACTTCGCCATCTACCCGACCCTCGCGGCCGACTTATTCGGCGCAACCACCGCCGGACCGAACTACGGCCTGGTCTTCATGGTCTTTGGGGTCGGATCTTTCCTTTTCATGCTGTGGCTCGCCACCGAAGCCAAGACGAGCGGCCAGATATTCCTAATGTGTGCGTGCATTTCTCTCTCGGGGACTGCCAACGTCGCGCTGCTCTGGTCACGCCAGCGGCGCCACGGGAAGCTGGCGACTGGATACGTCTCGAGTGTGCCGTAAACCCTGTCCAGATTGTTTTGAGCAATAATTTATCCTTGTCTGTGCCCCCCCCTCCTTCCGTTTCAAAACGCTGTAAGAATTCTGGAGGATACCTCCATGACCACAGATTGTCGAGGCGGTAGGGAAGCGTATGTACAACTAGTGTTGGGTGTTGGAATAGGGTTCGAGGTTGGCGTATTGCCCGAGGAGATAAGAGTCCGTTTCGGCAGCACTTCTTGCTGTGAGAAGTTATTGTCGTTCTTGAAACGAAAACACATTTGTATGCATAGGCGTTTTGGTGATATTCGGAGAAACATGTCGTATTTTTTGTTTTCCATAGGTGCGACGTGTCGTTGATGTACGTGTGTGAGGTGTGATTTGTTCCTGCTCGACGTTGTACTGCTACGATGGTAGCAATTTTAGCTCTCTTGAAATGTTGTTCCTTAAAGAAAAAGATGAGACAGCAGTGTCAGTATTACTTTGTTGGTGGTCCGGGAGTGTTGTGTGTTCTTGGCTGGGTAGGTACGTCGTGTTCGTGGCTAGGTGCCACCGTCCACCCTTCCTGCCAGTTTCGAGCAAAACCTTAGGTTCTTTTACGAAAAAGTCGCATCTCTTCTTCGGCCTTCTTTACAACCAAGTGGCTTGGGACGGCCCTTTCGACGTCGCTGGCGAAACGGAAAAATTGAGTTCAGTTGACAAACGTCGTATCAATCTCGCAGAAACTGTCTCATCCACACAAGTACCTACACAGCCTATCCGGATAGTCCGATGATGTGATGAAAACACTTCTTAACTCCGTTGGCGTTCTTCTACGACTGCGCGTGAAAAAAGTAGGCTTGATCGCGAGAAACCTAGAATGGCGTCTCCCAAGCCACAACCAACTAATGTTCACACGCACAATTCCAACTTTTGTGGCCGTATCTCGAAGTCCGCCACATGGAATCTACCCGACTAACACCAGACATCGAGATAGATTATCCGAGTGTCGCAAAGTTAAGGCAGAGCGATCTTTTGATATTGCAAGAAAACGAACGGTCCGAGGTCGGCTTGCAGGCTGTGTTTCACCCGGCCGACCCGTATATTATATATTCGCGCCCATGCGGACGATGGGTCCCGACCGGTTGAAACGCAAGAGGAGGGGGTAGATCCCTTTGGGCATCTGTTGAGCGGCCCCGACCTCGTCATACTCGAGCTCGCGTCTGCCCAACAGTGTTCAGAAGAATTTACTCCGTCCTCTTGAGTTGCAACCGGTCGGGACCCATCGTCTCCTTGCAACCCGACAACAAACCGTGCGGTTTCTTGGCAATGGCAAGATATTATCGCTTGAGTACCACATGATCCCGTGCATATTCACGTTGATGCTTGCTCGCGTCACCAAAGGCATCGGTCCAATAACTCCAAACAGTGGTCGCACCCTTCGCCATCTCTATCGGGACACCGGTGGGTTTTCTTCTCTATTGTTCTCTATGCCCACGATGCCCATTTGAACCATTAGTCCTGTCTTCTCCATTGTTTTTGCCGTCTTCTTTGTCACTCCCTCTCCGCCCGATACAACTTGTCGACGTTTGTATGCACGACAATTTCAAGACCTCGCGCAAATATGCCCAACAGGGAAAAACATGCCGAGTGGTCCCCGCTTCTTACAACGGCGATACCGACAACAGCCGACAACGAGGACTGACTGCGCCACCAGTACCGCAGAAGAAGACGGTGGCTACGCTGAGTCCAGTCACGATGACGCTAGCGACGACGACAGTAGCGACGATGACGAGCACGACGGCAGCGAAAACGGCATCGATGTTAACAGCAGTGGCGACAAAGGGGGCAACGAAGAAGACTGCAACGACAGCGAATAGTGAGCATTCTTACGTTTCTCGCGTAAAAAGGTTGTCACGTGGGCGCACCTCTCGGTGTATTATTCAAGCGGCGATCCAACTCCTTATCCCTAACCTTTCATCCGAACATTGCAACACCAAATGAGTCTACCTCCGAACGTATCTTAACAATTCAGGAGAGCGGTCACTACTACCGACTTTTGGGCCCTTGTTAAAACCTATTTTGTAGAGTGATCCAAATCGGCCAGCACTTGACAGCAAGTACATATTGTGGCAACCAAGTCCCACAAGTCAATGGGTAGTTTTCGAGCTGTGTTTTCCTCTGGAAGAGGTCCAGGGGAAGAACGCGCCAGGACAAGTTTTGTCCCTAGTTAAAAATAAAACGGCGATTTTTTGTCCCATTGCGAGCAAGACAGGTGTTGTCAAAACTCTCCACTTGTCGAGTGATATGAATACAGAGGCTTTGTTTCCAAACGGAGTTCTTCTCAACTACGGGCACGCACTCTGCAGTAGTTGATCGGTGAACGTACTCCATGTTCTGAGGTGACCGGGTAAAAATGATTAGATGTACGCCGTCACGCCAATGAAGACGTAGGCTCCTTCCGCAGGTGACGTGGCAGAAGGATCCCAGGGTCGTAGTAGCTTTCGCCCCGTACACAAGACAGGCAAGTTTTCTTCGTTGGTATTTGGGCAAGGAGAGAAGGTACAGAAAGAGAGTGAGAGCGAGGCGGTGTTACGGCGGTAGTGGCTCGTCGGCCCACATGCCCAGGCCAGCAAGTGGCACAAGGGGAAGATCCGTAAACCCGTCTGTCTGTGGTCTTCCGAGACCATGGTGGTTGGCCGTCAGTGGACTCCCTGTCCGACGTGGTCGGAACCCTTGTAAGAACCCTTCTCTTCCAATGTGCCCGAGCGTTCTGTCGTAAATTAGATACTTGTTCCATGTTGCATCATCACCAAACTTTGACAGATTTCTCAGCGTTCTTTAGCACGTTCCAGAAAAAGCCGGTCGCCCCGGTGGTCTAGTTGGTATCCTCGAAACCTTCTAGAGGTCAGGTCAGGGGTTCGAATCCCGGCGTAAGCGAGCTTTTCGTGCAAAGTGAGTTGTTCTCTCGCTTCCGCTTCTGGCCTAGTGGATAGCGCTAGTTCATATGTACACAGAGGGAAGAGAGTGCTGATCTCTTCTCGCATTAAAAATCGAAGGCAAAGTACCGCAGGAGGGTAGGGTAGAGAGGGGCTCTTCTGTGTGACCACGGGTTGGAGTAAACGGCACCAGTGCTGTGAGCGCTGATTTGACGTGAAGACACAAAAAAAAAAACATGTAAAGATGCCCATACCCCTGAACCAAACGATAAGTTCAAACGTGATTGTGGCTTGAAATGCGAAGACCGTTTTCATGTAGTCGGGGAATTTCATTTTTACAAAAAGGGGGGGGAAGTGTCCATGACTGAGCGGGGAAAATCCCAAGGGAGGTCCAGGGAAATTTTTGGGGCATGGAAAAGAGGGGAGAAGCCGGTACTGGGGAGTAGGAAGGGGTTTAAAAAGGGGGGAATTTTTTTTTTTGGGAAAGATAGATTGGGGAAAACTTTTTTGGGTCCCCTTTGGCAAAGTGGGAAGGAACGATTGCCCTTCGGTTTTGGGTCCTGGGGGAAAAATGTTCCGTCCTTTGGGGGGCGGGGGGTCCATGGTTTAACCGTTAAGGCATCCAAAAAAAAAGGGTACCCCCCCCCCCCCCCCCCTGTGAGAATCATCAGGAGCGGGTAAACGTAGTGTTGCTCGTGAGATGTGTGTAATTCCCATATACTCCTTTCTAACAAGCCGCAGAGAGAAAGCGTTGGAGGACCGTCCGGGCTGCCGTCGGTGGTTTCGTTGCCGGTGGCCCCTACCTGCTCGGGTCATGTCTGTGCGTCAAGGGTGCTCTCTCGGTACACGAGAGATGATGCTGTTAGCGTTGGCCTTCGACATACCTCGGCAGGCTCTGAGTCGGACCATGCTCGCGGCACACACCCGTTTGCCACGGTGTGGTAGCGCTCGCTGCCTGCGATTTTCCGTTTTTTGATACCGTGAGACCGAGATTCGTAGATTTTCCCTGTAAGAAGATGGAAGGAGAGGTATTTGGGTATGGCCGCGAGAGCGCTTTTCATATCACGACAACAACAGCAACAACAACAACAACAACAAGAAGCACAACAACGTGGCCACCCGAGGCGGTTAAGGCTTGCTTTGGCAGGTGTCGTTTTTTTTGCTGACTGATGTTGGACAAATGTTCGAGGAGAGGTGCTGGGTAGGTCTCGGGGGTCTTCCTTGGCTATGTTTTTGTGTCCCCCCGCACCCTTTGCTAAGACACATCACAGCAGAGGGCAGCTCTTGTTCGAAGAACCGTAAAATTGTCTCAGTATTTACGGCATACCGTGTGCCACGGAAACCCCACGCCCACCCCGGGACAAATGTCCCCACTCCTCGACTCTCGATGTATAGTGGGAGGGAGGCATAGTCTGCCAGCGTTCCGTGTAAAGCAAGCTCTTGGCAAAGCTATGTGAACCGCTCGAACAGATTGGTGGCCCTCCCTTCCTTTTTGCAAAGCGTATTGTGGTCACTATCTACCCAGGCGGAATGGTGTGTGTGTGGGCGGGGGCTTAAGTCGCGAGCGAAACCTCAAGCTGCTTTGTCTCCTGGATATTGCTGGAAGTTTCTCATGGCACCTATCACTGCTGTACCGCCGTGTGTCCCGTCGTCAAGGCGATTCACACGGCACGGTATACCATGAGGTGGCATGGGACATGCGTCCCGTATCACGTTTATTCGACTCTCTCGTCGATTCCCCCAACCGCCTTTTCGCAGCAGCATGCCCATTGCGAGGATGGACCAATTTTGTTGTGCCACCGCAGATGTCGTTGAAGTGTCTGATGGTGTCAGCTTTGCCTCTGTCGCTGTCTGTCTGCCTGTGTTGTCTGTCTGTCGATCTGCCTCTAACTCTGACTTTCTCTGTCTCTTCCCCCCTGTCTCTGTCTGTCTGTCTCGCTGTATCTCTCTGTCCCTCCCCCTCTGTCTGTCCCTCTATCTCCCTCCCTCTCTCTCTCTCTCTCTCTCTCTCTCTCTCTCTCTCTCCCTCTCTCTCTCTCTCTTTCTTCAATATTTCGCGTCAGCTGTACCAAGGACATGATGAACGACATGCCAGGAGGGCCGGGGGGGCCCGGGGGTGGGTTCAACGACCCCATGGGCGGCGACAAGCCGATAACGGTTACCTCCGTGCTGAAGGAGTTCCAGGGGCTCAAGGACAAGTTCAAGAATGAGGATGAAGATGACTGTGAGTGGTGATTACCGGCTGCCACCGCTGTTGGTGTTGCTGGTGTCGGTTGTACTGTTTGTTGTTGTTGTTGTTGTTGTTGTTGTTGTTGTCTTGGTAGTCTTGCTCTATTCTCGTTGGATGTTCACAACAGTCGTGAATGGTACGGAAGGCGCACGTGGACGCTGGAGGCCGTCGTTAAGGCGCGCCTCGGCTACTGCTGGGAGGGCTGAGGGGTTGTGTTTTGCCCGTATGGATCGAAGTAGACATACCCTGCGGTGGATTGGCTTGTGATGGGCGTGGGAGTGCAGCGTGAGAGAATCGCACCACCAATGCCTTGCCAGTGGGCGGGGGTTGAGAACCGCTATTTCTGGGAAGTCCTTTTTTTGTGATATCGCCGTGCGTCTCCTGTGTGGAGCAGAACTAGGCATCATGTACCGTGCGAGCAGGGCAGAGTTGATTGCGTCACTGCTGTGTACGGCCTGAGGAAGACTCGGCCACACGGGCCGCTTCTCTGCGAATGGTGACACCTAGGCACACGTGAAGGTCGTGTTTGTTCCCTCACAGCCGGTCCTTCTCTAAGAATGCTACGGGAGGGGCGGCAGACGTTGTTGCCGGGAGTAGGGGTGCAAAGGGTCATCAACCGCGACCGCGAGTTTGTGCTTCTGATCTGGGTGTACCCCCTTCCATGCTCTGTTTGTTCCTCCCTCCTGTAAAGTGTGTGTCCCCTTGCTGCACACACGCACTAAGTCGTGTGTGATGCGCACATATATGAATGTGTATTTTCGAGTGATGTGCGAAAGTACGAAGATCATTTTTTCAAGGACCGTTTGGCGGTGTGACGCGACCGTTGCCATTTGGAAGTGCAGTTCCCTTGCCCCTTTCTTGCACCATTCGGCTTAGTACCCCCCTATCCCGGTCCGGTGAGAACCCGGCGTGCTCCGTCCCGGCTTTTGGAGGGATGTGAAGTCAATGGTCTAAAGACTACGGCATGCACAGCTATGAGTACCCCCCCCCCCCCACCTATATTCTTTTGTTTGAGTTAGCATGATTTGGGATGTT